GTTGTGCTTCTTATTTACAACTCAATGATATCCTTAGAAAAGTACCTAAGATCCATTTCTTCAATTTTGATCCATTTAAAAAAAAAGAAACATGATTATTTTTTGCTGCACTAAGTGAGTCTGGGGATTTCTTTCAAGACCATAATGGAGGGATTTTTGTATCAGGGAACTTTGTAGCATGATGACACTCAATTGTGGGGGAACTAAATCAAGGCTAGTTGACTGTACCAGCAAAAAAAAATAATAATAAAAAATAGTCCAGAAGGAAATTCAGGGAAACTGCAGTCACTCAGTCCCTTACTCATTTTTCACTGGCTCATCCTCCAAATCAAATGAACATCCCTGATCGGTTTCTCTGGAAGCTGCTGCTCCCAGAGGCGTGTGAAAGTAGCGTTTAATTGCGCGCCTTGATTAATGGGGGCCGCCGCGCCGCCTTGGTCCAGCGCGCGCATCCTCACCGGCGCCATTTACGACCCTCGGTCATTCCCTTTCCTCCCCCCCCCCCCCAAAAAAAAAAACCTCCTACACTAAAATAATCATCCCTCAGGACAAATCACCTGACTTGTACCCTAAAATCAGCGAGAAAAAAAAGGGGGGGGGATGGAATAATCGTGAACGAAAAAGAGGAACACCAGGCATGAGTTGGGTGCTTTACCGTTTTAGGGCACCTGTTAGCCATGGGTATTTTCTGATCAGTTATCAATGACCCTTCAAAATGTTAGTTTGTGTGGCACTCCTAATAATGTGATGAATACAGGTGAACCTGTCTGTATAGATTTTGTCTACAAAAATTTGCACTATTTAATGAAGGTTTTTTATTTCTGGTGTGAGAAGAAGATGTCAAAAATGTAATAAAGAGTGTCTCACAAAGTTGATTGAGCAAAAAGGGTGATAGATATGGAAAACTTTATTGAAAGGGAAAAGATTTCAAAATAAAGAGTGAAGTGAAAATGTGAATCTTCTGAGTGAAGAAATCAACCAATTAGGAGATAAAAACTTGATCAGTCAGCCGGGCTGCGGCCGGGACAAACAGTCCTAGTTTAAAGAGTTGTATGTTTTGTAGATAAACACTGGTTAAGACTTTTGGAATGGTGCCTACAAAGAAGCTTCTCTGCACAGAGATCTGCTTGGGTCAGCAATGTGAATGCAAGTGGCAAAATCATCTGAAATTCGGAAATCAGGAAAGGAAGAGTTGAAGGACGTGGATTAGAAATCTATTCAGAAATGTCCTTGCTGGGCCTGGGAACCACACTTGGGTTTGGTTCTCAGGCTCCAGCAGAAGCTTCTAAATTTTCTCAAGATTTTACGAAACAGAAGGGTAATACAACTTAATCTGGCGCCAACTTGTGGGCATACCAAAGTTTTTTCCAACATCTGGTCTCATAGGGTCCACAGCCCATTTTATAGGAGTTCTTTGCAACAAAATTCTCTCCAGAGTGATTTTTGTTCTGGATCTGTGTATTTAGTTGTGGAGAGAGAAAGAGTCCACCTTTATCACATTTAGACCCACAGGTTTTGTTGCAATGGGATTCTAAATAATTTTTGCAATTAACTATTTCAGTAAAATCTTCTTACGTTCAAAAGAAAAATCAGGTATAGCCACAGCATTATTGTAGGCTCATTGTAAGGCATTATTTTGTATGCAAAAAACCTCTTTGAGAAAAACTTCAATAAGGGACAAGCAAAAAGTGCAACTGAGGGAGGTTTCCAGTTAGAGAAACTAGTATTTGTGTTGGGGGAATGAAAAAAGAATTGCAGGAATTCATTAAGGGTTCATTAACCTGATGAATCTTTCTCTTCCTCTCAAAACACATCAAGTGACATTATCATTGTTTTCTTTTCTCTTTTCTGTGTCGATGAAATAATTGGCAAAAAGCCTCAAGAAAATTTAACTTTTGGAGGCTTGGGTTGGAATACCTTCAAGTTATGGAGGTTATTAATGCATTGTTTCCAAGGGCATTCAAACAGGGACTTGAAAGAGTTGACATATCATCACATTTTTAAAAGGTTCAAGTTATTGATGTGCAACTTTATTGAATGATACAATTCAGATCACAAAGGCTGGGTTGCAACAAGATTTCACTGGACAAAGTTGAATTTTCTCAATGCTTTTTATCCAGTTCTAAATTATTTTGTTTTCAGGAAGTGCATCATCATGTCTGACATATGCCAGCAATCAAAGTAGAATAATGCCAACTGGAGTGACTATTAAATTTTCTCTAGTCAAAATCTAAAAAAATATTTTTGTCCTTCTATTCTTGAAGATTTTGTTGCTACAAGTTGCATCATTTCTAGCACTTGACCTAGCACTTTATACCAGCACTTGACCTAGCAACTTACCAGCTTTTAAAGCAATGCCACCTCTAGTCCTAGTGTGACTATTGGATTTTCTCCAGTCTAAATTAAATCTAACAAATATATTTGCCCAGTTCTCAGTGATTTTAGCAGCAATGAACTTCTTTTCAGGCACTTAATTGCCAGTTATCAAAATAATGCCTTTTCTCTAGTCTGTCAAATCTGAACAAAGTTCTCCTTTCTCAATGATTTCATTCCAACAAAGTGCTTCATTCCAGGCTCTTGCCAGCTAAAAAAAAATAATGCCAACTAGAGTGCCTATCAAATTTTTTATACTCTGTCGAATCTTAAAAAAAAAAATTCTCACTTATTGTATTGCAAGAAATCACATCAATTCCGTGTTGCATAAGTGTTGCCAACTCAAGTGTGCCGGTGTAGCCGCGCATGCCCTGTTCCACGCAATACGCGCAGTACACGGGTGGGCCCCTCCCCCCCATCACCGAGACAGTGAGACTCAGGCGCGCGGCTCGCATTCAGCATTCGAGTTATGCGGAGTGGAGGCAGAGGGGGGGGGGGGGAAGGAAAGAGCATTTGTTGATATTCATTCCCTGAACTCGTGCTGTGACGAGGACTGAGGTGGAGTGGGAGGGAGGTGTACGGTCATAGGCGGGCATCGGGGAGGGACGGATACGAGCGCTTCGAGATGAATAGAATAAAGTGTAGGGGAGTGGGGGGGAAAAAAAAAGAAAGAAATAAATAGGATGGTGAGGTGGTTTTTGGATAAGCGATGCTTGAAAGGTCTGGGCGCTGGGCTTTTCCGACGCGGCTTTTCCTCCTCTGCATCAAGGGAATTTACGAAATTAAATTTTGCGAGATGAGAAGCAGCCAGTTCTTCTTGAATAGCTCGTTTCTGGATGGGAAGAACACATCTTGATTGCATTTTGGGGATTTTATATTTATTGGCCAGTTTAGGGATGTTGAGTGGAGAAAGGTCTGAGAAAAAAGCTTCCAAGTGATGGTTTAGTGGCTTTGGCGTACCCAGTAACAAACTTTTGAAGATGCATTTTTTACTTATTCGAGTTATGTCATTTCTTCACCTGAAAGACCGGATATTGATGCGTTTGGAGCATTACAACAAAAAACTTTATGGATGACGATTCTTTTTCAATCTCTTATTTCATGTTTTCAAGATTTAGTGTGTTTACAAGTCTGGAGGTAGTCCACAGACCTATGGCGAAGAACAAATGTAGGTTTTTCTATTAGTTCAATTCTACCTTTTTGGATGGAAATCTACTGCCTGTTTAGGAAGAAAAGAAAGGTTCTGCAACATAAGAAAATGAAAGACTTGAAAATAGGCAAATGTTCATATTTTACCTTTCTTTGAAAAAAATAGGCAACTTCTCTGCTGCTGCATGTGTCATGCTTTATCAATTTTGAAGCTGAAATTTAAATTTTAAAATCTTAACAGTGAATGCCCAAATCTGGAAAGGATGATGTTGCAATGAAAAAGTATTCTGAAATTCACAATTGTTGTGTTAGAATTATTAGAAATGCTCAGTGCAAGAGATTTTTGCACATCTGAGGAATTGGGGCTACAAACTCCTCAAACTCCAAAAACTCATTAAATATACTGTATGAACCAAGACTTACCAATCACACAAATGTTAGTAGGGTTGCAACTCAAAAATTTTATCATCCCACAAGACTCAGACATAATCTGAACCAGCATCCCTAGCTTGTCTGAAAACATTCCGCATCCCGATCAGCATGCAGCACTTACCTCAAATCTCTCTTCAACAATAATGTTAACACAGTTAACAAGAGGCATAAGTCTGAGTCCATATAGGAAGTATGGGGAATAAAAAGCTGTCCCAGGAAAAGTCGTGCGTCGCGCGCGGGACCAGGCTCCCTCTCCCTCCGGATTCGAATCCAGCATTGTAAGTCCGCTTGCTCGTTGGTGCTCAGTTGGGATTGAGTTCAGTCCACACTTCGGCGTTGTCGCGTGAGGTTATTGCCAGCAAGAGCAAAGTTCCCGTGATTTCATGCAATAAACTGCTCGTCATCCCATGTCCTGTTCATCACTTTCGTGTTTTAGCAACAGGAAACGAACTCCAGCTCCCCTCAGTGACTTATTGCAGCGATTTTTCGATCGCGATTATGACGTGTTCGTGAGTTCCGCGCGCCCGCGGTAAATCATCACTCGACTAGCTCAGCCTGAGTGACTCGTTCTCCGGTACTCCATTTTATTACTGAGCTCATGTTGCTTCTAATGAGCAGCAGTAAAAGGTCAACTGGTGGAACGGCGAGGAAATTCGGGCCACACATTTCGATACTTTCTAGAAACAAAATTTGGTCACCGTTTTCGGTAAATTCCAAAATTTTTCGCGTTCTGTGTGCCTTTTCGGATTCTGTGTGCCTTTTCGATATTTTCGGGTGAAATGCTCGGCGTTGTCGCTCATCACTTGGTTGTGAACTGAAGAAGTTTTTCCGAGTGAAGACGATGCTGATCATCGATACAATAACCATCAAGTAATTCATATTTCCGACACACAATTGCACTCGGTAGCGATATCGACCCGAAACTTTTTGATCGCACGTCGCAGTTCTTAATTGTGTGCCGGAACGTTGATGGAAGTATGAATTACTTGATGATATTGTGGCTTCGATTGAGGCTCTGTTAGCCTTTTTTTATATACATTTTTTAAATGTGGTGTGTGGTTGTGATTTGGAGGAAGGAATCGGAGGTTGATGATCATCCGCTGAGTGCTTATCGTGATCTAAGTGGAACCATGGGTTTCCTTGGCGTGATGGGACTAGTGCTTTTCTCGGCTTCCCTGTCATCAAGTTTTGCCGTGCCTGGACACGGGAAATGTGAACAGATCCATCTTGAGCTTTGCCAAGACATTGGCTACAATCTCACCTCCATGCCGAACCTCATTGACCATGAAACCCAGGAAGATGCTGCTGTCAGTCTGGAAACATTTCGGTAAGATATTCTTTTACTTCGTTACTGTACTTCCATAATGATGAGTTGATCCGATGCTTTTGGGATTGGAAGTCGGTCGACCGAATTTCCGCGAAAATAAGCGCCCTAGATTTTTCCGCGCACGAAATTAAAATTCCATTGAGGCGCGAACATGAAAGTACCCATTTATTTTCTGCGTGTTATGACTTTCCAGGAACGTGAAATTTGTGACGTAAATTTAGGTTTTACCGAGCTGTGAAGGAAAGACGTTGTCAAACAACTCCTGCATTTCGTCAGTGATTCATGCATCTTCGAGTGCTGAAAACTAACCTTTCCTTGGTTATTTTAAACTTCAATTCCGAAAGAACTGAAGAAAAAAAGTGCTTGATTGTTTGGTGGGCCGCGAACGTGAAGATTTTCTGATTTAGACGCATATTTATGCAAATTTCGTAAATAACTGTAATCTGGTCGATTAATTGAGCTGGTCAATTTACGTGGTGGAAAACTTTCCTGTGACTGAGTTGGAAAGTATTTCCAAATTCCTGTTCTTCTTTTGAGTGACAAGTGGAAGTGAGAATTGCAAAGCAAGCATTTATTCATTTCAACTTCATAAACGGGTCATTCGTGGAAAGATCAACGCTTGGGAATTTTAGATTTGAATGCGGTGTCAATTTCAATTTTGGTCAACGAGAAATTTTCAAAAATCATATTTCTGTGGATGATTCTTCGTTTCCCGGAGGCAGGCGTACGCAATTCTAAAACGTCCGAAGATTTTTTCATCGCTTCTGGGGTTAATTGAGAAGTTCAAACTTGAAAACGAGTCAGTGATTGAAGGACTCAGTTGATTCAAAATTTCCCAATCGAGTTCAACTCATTAGACTTCTGAAAAGAAATTGCGGCAATTTGCGACGCATTCCGATAAATTTCAGTTTTATATTCGCGTTTTTCTCTGTACTTTGAAATGTGTGCGCTTGATAGATCCTTATTATGAAGAACCGCTTCATTTATGCTCCGTAGTATGTATTTGTGTATCAGTGATGGTTTTATCTTTTATCACACCTGGGTGTGTGAACCCACTTAGTTTCAGTACCACGTGACTCGGAAAATTCCCATAATCCAAATGAGTACTTTGGACCGACGACCAACTGGCTGAAGAATTAATTTTCCCTTGTTCCGTGTCCCGTGTTCTCCCTTTGGAGAGAAACGCAAGATTAGACAGAGAAGAAGTGAAAGAAAATTTCGTGAAAGTTTTTGATCAACTTTTGAAAACGTTTCTCGGATTAGGTCGTGAGGTCGTGATACATCGTCGTTTTTTTTTTTTTAAATCGTAAGAACAGAAGATGTTTATATGGGAATTCATTTTAATTTCTTTTATAAAAAAAAATTCCGGCAGATTTTTTTCCACCGATCACCAGATTCAGAACGGAGACATAAAATAAATAATTTTAATACTGTATTATGAATCTGTTCAACTGGAAATTTCGTCCTTTTTTGATTTTGGATTCTTGCTTTTGGCGTGATAATTTTTTTATTGATTGAAGAAAGTGTTCAGAAATATTTTTTCCGATTTTAATAAATTGAGGTAAAACTTTCAATTCTTGTAAATGAAAGAAATGATGTTTAGAATTTTTACGGAGAATATTGTGTCTCGAAAAAAATATGTTTTCGCACATATGTATGGTTTTCATGAAGTTCGAACGTCGAAAATGCCTTAAATTTATTCAAGTCTCAAAATTCTGCAGGAATATTTTTGAATTATTTTGGAAAATTGTATGTATGCTGAAAATGATTTTGGAATTGATCGAATTATTCTCGACCTACTACAGTAGCTCCTTTTTTTTTTGCTGTTGCTGAAAATACGTGGTATGGTTGAGTATTTGAATTTCCGGATTTTTGCGTCGAAGTTCTCCGAACTGTGATGAGATTTCAAGGATGTAAATATTTCAGCGAAACTTCGTCCATATTGCGAGAATTTTCTTTGCATTCTTGCTTGAGAAATGACAGTCATTTCGAAATAAAAGTGCAACTCCTGTACGGAGAATCTTCTTGTAACAAAATTTCCGTTGCGCGAAATTATGACAGGTACTGAATTATCTGGTGGAGAATAACTACGCATTTATCTCCTGTTTTTGCCAAAAAATGCCGTCTAAAATGTGCTGAAAACCGTGAGTCTCAATACCAATAATTTACTTTGAAGCCAATTTTTTTCATCAGGTCACCGCGAGTTGAAAACAAAACCTGAATACGTTCGCGTTAATATTTGGCTTTCAAATTTCACGGTGAGATAAAAAAATTTGAATAGCAGTGGATCTTTCAGACTTTTCTGCAATTTTTTGGTCGTGTCAATTTAATGTAATTTTATTTTTTCTCCTCGAAACAGGCCGTTGATCAAGATCGGATGCTCGTCGAAACTGCGGATTTTCCTCTGCGCCGTCCACGCGCCAATGTGCACGGAGAAAGTGGAAACGCCGATCGGTCCGTGCAGAAATCTCTGCAATTCCGTCCGCGACAAATGCCTGCCGGTGTTGGAGCAATTCGGCTACACGTGGCCCGTGGCACTCAACTGCTCGGCATTCCCGCCGGCCAACAACGACGTGCACATGTGCATGGAAGGCCCCGACACGACCGACGGCTCCAACAACGTCCTGGATGATTTCGTCGACGAGGAACCCGTGCCGACTCAGACCACGCGGGTTGTGGAACCCGAAAAGCCCCGGGGGTGCGACGGGTTCCGGCATCCCAAGTCGTTTGTGTTTGTCGAGAGGCCCGGGAAGTGTGCGCAGATTTGCGAGGCCCCGATTGCGTTTGCACCCGAAGACCGCAATTTTGCCGAGGTGAGTTTAAATTTGAGTCTAATTTAAAAAAAGTGAATCTTGAAAAATTTTATTCAGAGGGATTTTTACTCTTGTGTAAGAGATTTAGGCCTGATTTGTGAATTTTATCGAAGGAACTGGATTTTCTCTCCTAATTCTTTGAAAAGTTCATCGACTGCAAAAACACCGAGGGGAAAACATTTTCAATTTGGAATGATTTTTAATTCAATTTTCAAATTCTTGTCCAAAGTAAGTCCTTCTTAAATGAAGTATTAGATAGTAACAGAAATTTTATTTTTACGTCATGCCCAATCTGAAAAAAAATTGTGTCCACTTGAAAAACAGAGAAGTGATTTTTCTTGAAGTACAATATCTTAAATAAAACAAATGAGTAATTTTATATTAGGCGTATTTTCAAATTTTCCGCATGAAAACTTGAACGTTGGAAAAATGTAACCATTATTTGGTGAAATGAGATTTTAAAAAATGACTTGGACATTTTTTACCTGGGGTCAATTTTTTAAAAAGGAATAAAGAAACCCTTGATTTTCTTTATTCCCATTTATTTGAGAATTGATGATCACTCCTCAGTTTTAGAACATGATTAAGGGAATTGGGGTCAAGATAAGACTATAAATAAGCCTGGAAATCCCAAATGTTTTCTTCCTTCAAGAAACGCGTGCAATTTATGCTCCTCTTTGCCAAAAAGCCCAGCCATTCGCCAGCATTTCCTGGAATAGAACTCTGCAGTACTTGGCTTGAAATCCGCCACGAATTTCCGCCTTTATTTTTTATTTTTATGAGACGCAGTATTTTGAATATTAATTTCAAAGATTAGGACTCGCGTATTGAACAAACCTAGTGGAAGGGTTTATATTCTGGTGGAATCTCTGGCACTCGATCGCCTGTCATCTTGGTTCGTGATCAAAGTAATACAGGATTTTGAATATTAATTTCAAAGATTAGGACTCGCGTATTGAACAAACCTAGTGGAAGGGTTTATATTCTGGTGGAATCTCTGGCACTCGATCGCCTGTCATCTTGGTTCGTGATCAAAGTAATACAGGACCCGAGGGGTTCGTGTTACTTTCTATTTTATTTTTGTGTAGACTTCTGAATTTTTCATTTTTTTCCTGAGCACGAATCTGACGCACAGTGAAAAAATGAAGGGATGGGTTGACTCTGTTTTTTCGTGAGACCTGAAAATCATTCTCTGAGAATTTCGTGGATTTTTTTTTCCACTGTCCCCGACGAGTTTAGCTTACCGAAAATGGTCTGAATCGAAGACAAGGACATTTTCAAGTAGGATTTTTTAATGCTTTGAGAAGGAACCAAGCCCAACTGTTTTTGTTTTGTTTTTTGTTTCTCCCGACTTCCTCGTCAGGGTCCCCTGAGTTCCAAGAACTGTTGAAGGCATTTATTGGAATGAGTCGACGGTTTTTTTTTTCTTCCTCGGCCGAAAGAAACGGTTCCCCAAAGAAGTACTTGAAAGGGTCATTAATTTCCGAAAGCAATTAAACGCTTGTTTGAATTTCTGGACTCCGTGAAATTAGCCCCCCTCCACCACTTTTTTTATGTATCTCGATTGGGAATCATTAACGCTTTT